AAGATCCAGGCAAAGTTCAGGCAAAGGCAAGCAGCAAACGAAGTGGAGTCCCTGAAAAAGGAGAAGGAGGAGACGGCGCAAGCCGCCACGAAGATTCAAGCCAAGTTCCGGCAACGCCAAGCCAAGAATGAAGTGGATGCCATGCGGGCCTCGACCGGCGGCGAGGCTGATCCGCAGGCGGCTGAGGGTGTCGTTGCTGCCCAGGCGGCGGACGAAGAGATTAAAGCTGATGATATGAAGTCATCAGAGCTACTGGGCTGGGTATTGGCAGTTGATCCATCTGGCTGGTTCTCAGGAGGGAGATGATGCTAAGGAGCTGCAGGGAGTTCCCCAACATCTTGCCAGTGGTCAATAAAACTCCTCAAATGAACCATATGAATTACCATCCAAATCGGAGGGGATTTATTGATCAAGAGTCTATCTTAGGGGGGGCCTGGGTTTATCGGCCTCCCTCCCTCAAACCCTGACAACCTCCTGGCGACCGTCATAACCCCGTTCAGCTCGCATGAGTCCTCGTTCAAAAGTAACGTCACACCCACCCGGATTGCGATTCGTTTCATTTGTGCAGCTTGCATATTTGTGAGTCGGAGGAGGGGTAGATGCTAACAGCGATTCAACCCTTTGTCCGAAGCACCCTTCCTCAAACCATGAACCTGCCGGCATGAAAAGCATCAACCCCCTTATGCCCCCTTCAAATCTGGTTGTTAGCCAGCCCCCACATGTCACCTTACTGTGCATGCGGAGATCCTCCCTTCTGGGGCATGTGTGTGATTTTACCGTGTGTGAAACCACGCACGCCTTGAGGTTCGGTGAGGTGGAAGCGATGCTCTTCGAGAAGCAGAAACAGCAGCAACTAGGATCTATTGAGTCGATCAAAACCACCACAGGTGCTGCAGAAGTAGGTGCTGCAGTGCTGGTTCTTGGATCTTTCCACCCTTAAGTGCCTCCACAGCGGGAGGAACCCTGACGGATTCCCTGACGCCGGAGGCATTCCTTCGCCGACCGAGGCAAGAGCTGGTCGACAAGGCTCCCAAGGTCGAAGGCGCCAGTGAAAAGGACCATTTTGTTACTAGGAGTTTCCACCTTTTCTGGCAGGATTTAGGACTTAGGGACTTAGGGACCATTTGGTTAGGACTCAGGAGGAGTTTCCACCTTTTCTGGCAGGACTTAGGACTTAGGGACTTAGGACCATTTGGTTAGGACTCAGGAGGAGTTTCCACCTTTTCTGGCAGGACTTAGGACTTAGGGACTTAGGACCATTTGGTTAGGACTTAGGAGGAGTTTCCACCTTTTTTGGCAGGACTTAGGCCTTAGGGACTTAGGACCATTTGGTTAGGACTTAGGAGGATTTTCCACCTTTTCTGGCAGGACTTAGGACTTAGGACTTAGGACCATTTGCCTAGGACTTAGGAGGCTTTTCCACCTTTTCTGGAAGGACTTAGGACTTAGGGACTTAGGACCATTTGGTTAGGGCTTAGGACGATTTTCCACCTTTTCTGGCAAGACTTAGGACTTTAGGGACTTAGGACCAGTTGGTTAGGACTTCGGAGGATTTCCACCTTTTCTGGCAGGACTTAGGCCTTAGGGACTTAGGACCATTTGGTTAGGACTTAGGAGGAGTTTCCACCTTTTCTGGCAGGACTTAGGACTCAGGGACTTAGGACCATTTGGTGAGGACTTAGGAGGATTTTCCACCTTTTCTGGCAGAACTTAGGACTTAGGGACTTAGGACCATTTGGTTAGGGCTTAGGAGGATTTTCCACCTTTTCTGGCAGGACCATTTGGTTAGGACTTAGGAGGATTTTCCACCTTTTCTGACAGGACTTAGGCCTTAGGGACTTAGGACCATTTGGTTATGACTTAGGAGGAGTTTCCACCTTTTCTGGCAGGACTTAGGACTTAGGGACTTAGGGCCATATGGTTAGGACTTAGGATGGTTTTCCACCTTTTTTGGCAGGACTTAGGACTTTAGGGACTCAGGGCCATTTGGTTAGGACTTAGGAGGATTTTCCACCGTTTCTGGCAGGACTTTGGACTTAGGGACTTAGGACCATATGGTTAGGACTTCGGAGGATTTCCACCTTTTCTGGCAGGACTCAGGACTTTAGGGACTTAGGACCATTTGGGTAGGACTTAGGAGG